TAACAGTTTAGAAATTATCCATTGGGCAAAGATTAGAGTGGACACCTTCCAACCGATCAAAGTAACCGGATAATTCTGTAAGCCATTTAAAGCATTTTTCCACTTTGAAGTATAAGCCTATCTATAACGGTTTAGAAATTATCCATATAGCAAAGATTAGAGTGGTCACCTTCCAACCGATCAAAGTAACCGCACCGGTTTTTGAGATAAAAATTTTATTTATCTGACTGAGTGTAAAAATATTAGTTTTAGGAAGGAAATATTCAAAAAAGCAGCTTTAAGGTTATAATTCAACGAAAATTTATTTTGACCATTTCTATAAAGTTATCTTCGTCACAGAGAGACAAAAATTGCCACTCGTGCTTTTACCAACGAATCAAGTCTAAAATATTATCATGTTACGGTGTTTCCAATTACAGGTTCGAATTTCAGTTATCTTCTCCACAAACAGATAGATATATACATGGCACTTTGATGTGTATCTTATTTTCTGACGAGGTAACCTTATAAGGCAATAACTTTTTCTCCACGTCAAAACGACCTGCCCTGCAAAGTTAATAACAGTAGACTACACGTCTTTATCAGAATATACAAAAGAAATTAAAAGCCACGAAGTTAAATGTGAAAAAGCGAGAACATTAACCCTCTCAGACCGAGCGAGGCGGTCTGGGGCGGTCTAAAAATTTCCCCTTAATACAGCGACGAAGGCCGGCATGAGGCGGTTGGCTTCTTTCGAGGGGAGGTGAGGTTCTGAGATCGTTTCAGAGATAAGATCGGTAGGGGGTCCAATCATTCTTGCCAACCACAGCCCATTTTCCTGCGATTTAAGAGAAGGTTATAGCAGGGGTGGGGTAAATGACCACCCATGTTGGGAGAGTCCATTTCATGGCGTATATACCCAAAAAAGTCCCGGTTTTAAAGATGCTAGAAGAAAAAAGTCGTCTCGGGATTAAAGAGTTAAATGCGAATGTTTTAAGTCTACAACCTGTCATGGTACGTTTCGTGTCAGTTGCTGGATGAGCTTAATAATAACAATTAATTAATGAAATCTTGAGTGCTCTTACACTTGATAAGAAGAT